TTGGGATTGCAGTTCAGCTTCTTGCCACTAGGCCACCAGAGCTCGCCATCTAGGTGGGCAAATATTTTTTAATATGAAAGAATTTTGTTAAATGCCCTTCACAAATTGAGAGTGTTGTATAGGGTGATTGCTGTTGTTTTCCTTTGTTCTATGATTGAAGTCTATTCCTATTGTATATCATTTTTTTGTGATTTATAGCTTCCTTTAAACCTGCTGAGGGTCAGCTATGAGTCAGTTCTGAATCTAGAGTTTGAGTTGTTTGGGGTTTTTAATTGTTATTGTTCATTTTGTTGAGAATTTTTGTATCTGTATTTATGAGAGATCTGCTTTTGTTCCTTTCTTCGTTTGTGGTTTCCTTGTCTGACTTTACTATCAGGATAATGCTAATCTCATGGAATAAGAAGTGCTTCCAGGTGTTTACGAAGACTTTGAGCAGGGTTAATATTAATTTTTCATTAAACACTTGGCAGAATTAATACCAACACTGCCCAAACTCTTATCAAAACACTTGGAGCCATCTGGTTCTGGATTTTCTGTATTGATAATCTTTTGATTATGGATTCAATTTTTTTCTGCTGAGATTCTGTATATATTTAAATTGTTAAAGAATAATGATGCCAGTTTAAAGTAAAGTGCACATAATCAAAGCCATGCTTTGTTTGGTGGGTTTTGTTTTGTTTTGTTTTTTCAAATTACTTTCTAGACAGTGAATAAAGATGACAGAAGAAGAATTTTGATGCCTTTGAATTATGGTGCTAGAGAAGAGTACTGAATAACCATCCATCCTTCTTATTGTCAAGAGAACAAACAAGTCTGTCTTGGTCTAACCAGGGTATTCCTTAGAGGCAGGGATGGTAACACTTCATGTCACATACTTTGGGCATCTTGTCAGGAGGGGCCAGTCCTTGGGAAAAGAAATCATGCTGGAAAAGGTGGAAAAGTAGAGAAAGCAAAGAAATCCTCAAAAAGATTGGCGTAGTGACTGTAATAATAGACTTGAACATATTTAAGAGAATATGAAGATCTTGCAGGATTGAGCAAGGTTCACATCTGTTAATAGGGTTGTTATGAGTTATAGTTGAGTTGACATCATCTAACAATGACATACATTTCTGTGATACTATGTCCTCTTCGGTTTATCTGAAGAATTCACTGTAGTGTGTGTTTGTTGAGCTTTTAAAAGTTTTTTTTTATTGATAACAAACGTTTTTAGAAAACTTTAATTTC